GCAAAAGAAAGGAAAGTAACCGTCTAACTATGGAGACTGTCCTGCCTTGAGAGGAATCGGCCACAAAGCAGTTAATGTTATAAAAGAAAGAAAACCTTCTGTTGTATACTTGGAGGGATCTCTTAAAACTTTTGCTATATGGGCCTCCCCGGTGGCGCAGCGGTCCCACAGCCTCTGCAGCACGGGTTCGATCCCCGGCTGCCTGGTGAGGGTCCCACATGGCGAGCAGACCTCTCCTGCCGCCCGCTGCTCCCCTCAGCAGTGTCCTTCGGTCCTTCTGCCTGCTCTGCTCCCTGCTCTGGCTCTGGTGAATTCTCTCACCCTCCTGTGCTTCTGACTGTGCCCAGTGCTTGTATAAATAAATAAATAAATCTTTAAAAAAAAAAACAAAACTTTTCTTGCTATAGACAAATAACCCCTCTTATATTTTATCACTTTGCAGTTTTTGAAGCACTTCATGTACTTTCTTTCACTTAACCGCCCCAGATAAAACTATCCTCGTGTTATAATGAAAAATCTGTGCCTGCTAGTGATTTACCCAAGGTCAAATAAACATTACATTTCTTTATTGACTAAAGTTATTTTGGTTGCAAGAAATAGCCAACAATTTGAGTAACTTGATGTGCGATAATTTGATGGCAGAGCTCTCCCCGGCCACGGAAGCCACAGGACTGGCCACGGGGAGGGCGGCAGCAGAGTCCAGCCAGGGCTTCCCACACAGGGGGTCGGGGGCTACTGCCCACGAGGCTGCCATGCTGGCTTCACAGCCAACATCCATGACAGAGTCACTAATGAAAATTTTAGATTCCTAGATAAAGGGATCAGGTGCTAATCCTGAGCCAGTGGACTGAAGCCAGGGTGACCAGGCCGTGACGGGATGGGGATACGTCCGTGATTCCCTGTTGAGCAGACACCATAGTACAATCACGCCAACCTGCACAGCACTGCCTGCTACTTGCGTAGGCTGGGTGGCCCAGCCTGTTGGGCCCAATGCCCTCTGTGTGATCCCTTGTTGACTGAAGTGTCATCGCGACATGTGACTGTACAGATGTGCCCCAGAAAGCCTTCTCTGACTACAGGGGCCAGAAAGATAAGGGCAGAACTTCTGCAAACATGGTCCCCTGCCACGGTGACCCTCTCCCCCAAGGAGCAGGTTAAAACAGGTCTCGGGGGATCCCTGAGATGGGACCAAGAGGCTACATTTTAACCAGTTTTTAATGGTCACTGAGATTCGAGAATCAGCAAGTGAACAGGAGAGACTGGAGAGGTGGAAGCCAGTTTGGAGACTCTTCCACCAAAGAGAAAGGATGTGCTAGGAGGAAAGTGGAGGAATACAGAGTCTGAGAGCCGGAGGAGCTGGGACCAAGGCGGGGGCAGTGAGGGGAGATGGGAGAGCAGACTGGGGTTTCCTCCAGGGCAGGGTGACCCCGAGGATGGTGGGGTCACAGGCAGAAACAAGGAAGGTGCTAACAAAAGGAATGTGTGGGGTGATCACCGGTGTGTGCACTTGGCACCTAGACAATGAGGTGCAGGCGCCTCGGAGCCGGCACTGGAGAGGCTCGTGCTCAGCAGATGGCGCTGGGCCTTGAGCATCCAGGCCAACCTGCATCTGGAAACGCTGAGGCACTAATGAGGCTCAGGCCAGGGGGCAGGTCTCCGGGGAGTCTATTAGCTTCCTCTGTTCATGGCCACAGACGACACCCCTCGTCCAGCAGCCGTCAGCCAAGACAGGCCCTTAGTCACACAAGGTGAGAAAGCAGGAAGGAAGGGTCCCTGCAGCTCAGCCCGGCGAGGTGAGCACCATCTCCAGACGCCCGACCTGCCAGCACTACCTTCCGACAGCATTTTCCAAAGTGCTCCCCCTTCCATTCCAAGGACTCCGGCGCCGGGTTGGCCCCCACATGCTGGTGACCTCTGAAAGGCAGCTTCAAAGCCCGCACAGCTGTGCTTTAAACCCGGCCAATTATGTTTGACTGGGAAGCCGGTCGGGGCCAGAACCTGGGAGTAATTTCAAGGACACCTTTTAAGACCAAAAGAAGCCCTTTCAGCAGTGACGGCCTCTGTAGCTCCCAGTCAGCCGCTTTCATCTGATCGCGCGCACGCGGCACTCGGGGGGCCTCGTCTGAAGCACACATCGTGGGGTTTTCTGAAACACACACATTTTCTTGTTCAGCTTCCAGTCGGCTGAGGGGGTCACCTGGGGAATATCACTGCCTGAAACACAGCTAGAGATCTGCGGTTGAAATACATCGCCACGATCTTTGCATATGACTCGGGGACTGTCCCTGTCGCCCAAGGGCCCTGGGCTGGCGGCTGAGCTCCTCGGGCGCTGCAGGGGCGGGAAGGGGCAGCGAGAGCCTCGCCCTCCCACCAGCCTCATGGTCAGGCCCACAGCGCCCTGCTCTCCCCAGCAGCGCAGGAAGCTCTCAGCAAAAATTCCCCATGAAAATCCCCTGGGAAGTGGGGGGCGGGGAAGCCCACCCCCAGGCCTGCTTGTGTTTGGGGCTGGAGGTTTACCTGCTGTCTCGGGGCTCATAGAGCCATAGAGGGGCCTCCAGACCCCCTTCTCCACCGTCAGCTCAGCCCAACTCATCTCAAGAACACTGAGTGGCTCAGCTTCCCCAGGCTGCGCAGCTCCGACCCCCCCGGCCTCCCCAGGAGGGTCTCACAGGCACGTAAAGAACAGGCTGTGCTCCCCTTGCTCCCCACAGGGGTCGTAGGCTCTGGCTTCTGGAGTCCTCCGCCTCGGGCCCCACCCCGGGGAGAGCACAGGGCTCAGGTGAACGCAGATGTGCTGTTGACAGACCCCGGGAGGCAAGGACTTAGGACAATTCGGGGCTGCTTGTGTTGACATAGGTCAGCACTTCATCTGCTCCAGACACCCCTGACCACTGATGGGGCGGCTTCGACAACAGAAATGACCTTCTTCCAGTCTGGAAGCTGGAAGTCCGAGGTCGAGAGGCAATAGGATCGGGTCCTTCTGAGGCCTGTCTCCTGGACTTGCAGATCGCCGTTTCTTCTGGCATCTTCCGCCTGACCTCGCAGGACACAGAGACCCAAGCTGGGGGCCCACGTGAAAATGGATCAGGGAGCAGCCAGAGCCTCCCAGGGCTCTGTGCCGCGGTCTGAAGAACTGTCTGACCCCTCACAAGAGACATGCTGACACTGTGCTGGGTAGGACACCTAGAGCGACCCCAAACAGAATCACTGCAGTTGGGGGGTGAGGACAAGAGGCAATGATGGGGGGACCACAGTGGGGGGGCAAAGTGCGAGCCCTGCATGGGAAAGTTTTGGGGAGAAAGTGGCAGCTGGGCTGAGCATCCCCAGGGAAGATACGGCTGAGGGCTGGCAGAGGGGAGCCCGGCAGAGGGGCCTGGACAGGCACGGGGTGCAGGCTGGAAAGGCATGGGGTGCAGGCTGGGCAGGCACTGGTACAGGCTGGGCAAGCACCAAGGCAGGCTGTTCTGACCGAAGGAGAGGCACGTTTTCCACAGCAGATATGGGGGTGCTGCTGCATGCAGGTATTTCCAGACAGAGCAGGGAGCTGATGGCAGAACAGGCCTGCAGACAGCGGGAGAGAGCAGCCTGTTCTCAGACTCAGCAGCTCTTCGGCATCTGAACCAGAGCTCCGCTCCACTTTTTGGCAGGGCCCAAACTCGCTCTCCACTGTCAGCATTATTGCTTTCCAGGAATCGCCTGTTTTTCAAAGTATTTTTGCCAAGATGTGATGTTTTGCAAGCCCCACGGCCCATCTCCCTCCGCTCCTGTCAACTGATGGAACCATTCATCTCCCAGCCCCAAGCCGTCTTGCTTCACCTTCCCCGCGTTCCTCATCTCACCCCAGGATCTGGCCAAGTCCCAGGAGCCCCAGAGGCCGAAGACAGGCCCGTCTGTCTCCCCAACCTGGCGGCCCGGAGGGCTGCGGTATTCTCCTGGCCTGTAAGGACAACTGTGTCCTGGAGATCCCCCAGGGGCATAAATATGTCCAAGGCAGCCCCTGCGTTTTGGCAAGAGATGAGGTAAGACTGTTTGTGAGAGTATTTTGACATGAATTAAGGGCATGGGGCCCTTTCTAAAATATTGACTTGAGGGCTGGGTTTTAAACTTCCCCAGCTGCTCCGTGACCCCTGCCCCACAGCCACTCATCAATACAGAGAATTCTTCATCCCCGTCTCTTAGCCCCAGGGGGACACAAGTGGCTCTGGAGAGAGCTTGGGCCGGGCCGATCTGAGCCCTGGGGAATCGCTTTATTCCAGCCTTGCACATCAACGCTGAATTTCACGCGCCTGCTACCACCCCTTAGCGGCCCAGGCAGAGACAGCGGGAGGATGGTGCTGACGCCGCCGAGCCAGGGGCTAGCGAGGCCGTGTTCTGAGAGTCTGGTAGGTGTATGTGTATGGTATCTGAGGAGACTCCATTTTACCTGGGAAAAAATCAAAACCCCACATGGAAGCCACCTGTGACCTCTATGCCGAGCTTCTCTGGGCGTGTCCCGAGCAGAACCGCTCACTAGGAACAGCAGAGAGAGAGCAGCAGGTGTGTAACTCCAGGCCTCAGAACCAAACCCAAGTTGTTTACCCCACGTTCCTGGGAGGCGAGTGTGAGCATTCGGCTGCTCTGAATCTTAGTGTCCTCGCCTAAATACCCAAGAGCACCCCCCACTGCTCGCAGCGCGCCCTTCGTGAACAACACACCAAGAAACGACCCTGGAACTTTGGAAGCTTCTGGGAGGGGGGTATCCCTAGTTTGGCCCACCCAGAGTCATGGCCTCCCCAGCACCAGACATGCAGCGTTGGGGGAAACAGGGCAGTAATTCAGGAAGAAAACTCTTTAGGAGTTTGGAGAGAAAAATGGCCACCACAAGCCCTAATAGCACCAGTGCTTCTCGGGAGGCTGCTCTGTCTCCCCAAACTGCTGGTGCAGTGGAGATAGATAATTGTAAAGCCATACCACGTCAAAGATGGAAAGGAATTTTAGAGGCTGTGGTTTGAAAACTTTTAAATTGGAAGCATTTGTCAAACAGAATCTTACACAGGAACCCCTGCATCAAGGAGGCAAGTTGCAGGCCCCTGGCCCCTCCCCGCCAAATGCCTCAGCCAAACTGTGGTCTCCCCACAGCCTTCCTCCCCACCACCACAGTGCACTGGAGAGGGGTCACACAGCCTTCTCGCCGGGCAGTTCCTTGGAGATGAGAGTCTCGCAGTGGGACCAGGCAGCAGGATGGGAAGCTCGTCTGGAGTTGATCTGCCACATCTGGGATTCACAGAACCCGAGTAATCTGATTCTGCTCGGTCTTTCTACTGCCCCCCCAGCCTGCCCCCGCGGCCTGACCCTCTCTCCCAAAGTTGCTTAGCAGGGAAGCCTGATCCAAATGGGTAACAGAGATCCTGCTGTCAAAAATCACACCTGTTGTTCATGTAAGTTCATCTGATATAACAAATGCACCATCAACAACAAACACCAAATGTAGTATATTTTTCCTATCTATCATGTTACAAGATACATATACTACATACTATAACAGAGCACTCTCCTCTTCGTACTGGATTTTGGAGAGAGAACTTACCCTAGACCAGATAGGGCAGCTAGCCAGTGTCAAGTTACAAGTCAGGCGGTGACCTCGGCGCTCCTCCCTAATGCCCGTGTCAGCTTCTCCATCTCTCCACACGTTAATTCAACAATATATATTGAGTATCACCTGTATTCCCAGCACAGTACTAGGCACTAGGGATAAAAAAAACTGAATGAATGGAGCACGTAAGGACCCTCCCTCAGAGAGTTTACATGGGAAATAAGTAAACAAACAAATAACAAGATCCCATCTCACGATTACCCACAATGAAGGGAACAAACCGGATGCTGGAATGGAGACTAAATGACACCTGCATATCATTTCAGATGGTGACTGGCCCTGCCCCAGGCCCAGAGGCCATCAAACTCCTGATAAGCCCTGCGCAACTGGGGTATCTGGCCACCCCCAAGTCCGGAGAGGAGATGCCCACGCCAGTTGTGTGGAGTCAGGCCAAAGAGAATAGCAGACCTGCCCAGAGCAAGTGTTGAGGGAAAACAGGAAGTGCTTGTGGGAAACAGGAAGTGGTGAGTAGGAAACAGGAAGTAGAGGGAGCACAGATTCCACAGTTCCTTAGGACAAAAGCTCAAGAATTTCCAGGTAGTAAAATCTGACTCTCAAACGTGAGTCCTAACCCAACACATCAGGGAGACAGTGGTGGGCAGGCAGAAGGGAGGGCATGTTGGGCGGGATTCCTTGCCTAAGAGCAAAGGGACAATGGCATGAAGGGGTATGGAAAGTTCCTTCCACCCAGGGGGAATATGCAATTCTAATAAGAGTGAGAATTTCAGGCACCCTAGTTCACCTTTGCCAGCTAGAGGAAAATGGAAACCTCAAATAGAACACAGTGATCGGCCAATTTCTTCACCTTAGCCTGGGAGTACATTAACCATGAATAGAAACATGGTCAGACAGTTGCCAGTTTACACAGAAGCTTGCAGGCAGTGAGATCGCTGTTGGAAATATTTGCTGGAGAAGGGACAGAATACAAATATATTGAGGCCATGAATTTACTCACATCACAGCTCAGGCATACAGAAATGATCCCTTATTTCCTCTGTAACTCCATCTGGCATTCCTCATGAGCCCCACCCTGCTGCTGGTGGGAGCAATGTAGACTGGCCGATTCACAATAGTTCAGACTTTTCCAATTCAAATGGTTTCCTTTCAATATAAGCGTTGGGTTTATTCAGTGACTCCTTGTTAGATTGGTCTTAATGACCTTTTAGGACAGCTCCTTCCTGCTTTCCCTGCTCAGTCGTCAGGTCCCACAACCACAGAACCTGGCACTTCTGAGGACCTGGAGGCACAAGCTGATCTCCTCTCAGCGTCAGAAAGAAGCAGAGAAGCACAGATGAGACTGGACTTCATCACTTTATAAAGCCGCCAAGTTATGGCAGCTCTCTTTTGCCAGGCAATGGAAAGGTTTCCAGGCTAATTGCATAACTCTTAGCGACTCTGCTAAGGAGACATTACAACCAAGGGGAATCCTTGATGCCCTCTCTGGAGGGTGCTGCCTGGAAAATCAGGGAGAACCAGGACCCAGAGTGCAAACATAGGCAACATCATAGTTTCCACCCACCAACTTCTCTGGAATACACAAAACCCTTGTTATTTTTGATAATGCCTTGCATTTATGTGACAATTTTCAAAGGACTATCACATCTCCAATCTCCTTCTATCCTCAAGACCACAACCATGGCCTTTGACAGATGCATCAACCTCTGTCAGCCTCTAGGGCACAAAGAGGTTGTTTGAGAAGCTCAAGGTGATCTCCCAGACTTGAGTCCTTCCGACTCCCAGAGCAGCTTCTTTCCCTGTGTTGCTGGGTATAAATCTTTCTTCTTTAGAATCTTCCTAAATAGAAAGTTGAGGCAGTGGGTACTTATTGATTCATTCTGGATTTAGAAACAGAAAACCTGGATCTCATCCAGGTAACACTATCTGTTCTAGAGCCTCTCTCAGCCTCATTTCCCTGCCCCTGTAAGAATAATATCAATCACAATACTACTACTATCTGCCTGTCTACTCCCTTCGTGGGACAGTTGAAGACAATACAAAGAAGTGGCATCTGTGTGGAGATACCTATGAGTGCTGCATTTCAGGGGGGATCTGATGGCACAGCCAACCCTCTGAGATGCTGCTGTGACTTCTACACCAATAACCACAATGCACCAATGTGCCTGCTTTTTCTAATTTCATCTGGGATATCAATTCTGGCATCTCTGCCTCCTTAGGAAAGAAGGGGAGGGGATGTGTGCAACCAAGAAGACACACATTAGTCCTTTTATTCCTGCCTGGAGATGGCTGAAGGAAAGAGCATGGCATGACTGTGGTGGGGAGCGATAGGGGCCTTGGTCTGTGCACTAGAAGAAAACTCTACACATCTCTGGGTCTTCACATCAACCAAGTGAGTGAGTAAGCAGGACAAAGGATATCCTCTGGGTCGGGCACAGAAGAATGGAGCTTCCCACTGGAATGACCATGGCCACGTAGTGACAACCCCTGAACTCAAGTCTCCCCAGCAACCCACAGCCTCTTCCCCTCCCCCAGTGCTAGGTGTGGGGCTGAAACTTTCAGCACTTGAAATGAGATTTGAGCTGCTTGAACAAAGACATTTCTTTTTTCATAAGAGGGGCCATCAATATTCCTTAAGCATCTAACACTGGAGGATGCTCAAGCAGTTATCAATTAGGAGAGGGCCAGGGAAACCCCACACAGACAGAATCCAGTCTGTGCTGAGCCTCTCTTAGGGGAGCTGGAGCAAGGGGAAGATGAACCAGCAGTGAACCAAAACTAGCACAAGCCCCGGATCACACTAGGCTCTAGAGAAACATGATGAAATAGTAAATAATGGACTCAACTGATTGAAATGAATGGGAATCACACTATTTAGTCTAGGTTGTATGGTTTGGAGAGAAAAAATTTAGGGGATTAGGGATGAAACTACGAGATCAACGAAAGTGTGTATTATTAAAGGAGGCGTCACAGAGAAGGAGAGATGTATCTGGATGTCCACAGATCCATTAAGATTTTATATTGTGGGAAAAGGTGAAAACAAGCTAAATAGGAGGGAAAAGAATAAAGTTCCAGGCAGTGAAATAAACGAGGTATGTATATGGTAGCAAATGTACAACATCCCTCTCTTGGAGAGAAAAAAACCCTTGTTTGTGGGCCTCCCTGGTAGCGCAGGCGGTTGAGCACAGCGCTGTGATACTGTCTGCAGCCTCTGCAGAGCTGGTTGGATCCCCACTGGCTGCGGAGCAACCCACATGGCGCAGCAGACCTCTCCTCGCCAGCTGCTACCCTCAGCAGTGTATTTCGGTCATTCTGCTTGTTCTGCTCCCCACTCTGTCTCTGATGGATCCTCTCACCTCTCACACCTCTGGCCTGCACCCCAGCTCTTGTATGCATAAATAAATAAATCTTTAAAAAAAAAAAAACCCCTTGTTTGTAACACTTGCCAATTTTCATGGTACACATACTCCCAATATGGCTGACCTCAAGCTACCAGCATGGCATGGCTGACTGTGGCATCAGGAAGCGATTAACTCATTATCATATGTAGTATTTCCACCCTCTTGTATATTTCCACCATCCATATACAACAGACATAAATAAACTCAAGAGCACAGAAAACAGCAAAATCATTAGGAAGTTAGAAGCTTTAAGTGTTTATTAACTTTTAAAACAATTTATTTCATGGTAAGCTTATGTAATTTCTTTGTAACCTTTGGCTCAAAAACTTCCTAAAAATTTAACCTGAGCTCTTGTGAGTTAATATGAGTTAGTTCCAGCATCGATGGCATGCCCATCAAACAAGAAATCAGTCCTTGGGGAACAGTACACGTGGGAGCTTAGAGGGAAATAAAATGCACTTCCTGGAGCAGCGTCCATGATGCCTGAGGAAGTCTGAGGGGGAGGCACAGGATAGAGGGAGGTCGGGAGGGTCGGCGAGGGAGTGCTCAGCTCAAGGGGTCTGAGATCAGGGAAGAAAGTTGGTAAATCAAACAAGGAGGAGGAACCTGATGTGAGAGACATTTCAAAGTAAATCCATCACAACTTGGCACCGAGATTTGGGGATAAAGAGGATATTGGGGGTGGGCCTCCCCAGTGGCTCAGTGGTTGAGAGCTGGGTTGCAAGGCTGCCCACAGCCTCTGCAGCACAGGTTCGTTCCCGGCCACAGGCGAGGGTCCCACAAAAGAAAAAAAAAAAAAAAAGAGGCTAATGGGGGAGGTCTGGGAGTCTGAGGGGGTTGTTAAGACCAAAGGAACTGCTGAACTGAGCACACTGGGATGGAAGATGTTTTCTGGAACCTGCTATATGGAAGGAAACAGCCAGGGAGACACAGCAGTGAAATGTCTTGTGGGGATCTGGAAGGGGACACGGAACCAGAGCTTGGGAGAGGGGAATGTGCTAGAAAATGTCAACTTGGAAGCCTCAGTCCAGAAAGGACAGAAGAAACCTTGCCGTGGATGACTCTCTGGAGGATCACGTAGGAGAGAAAGCCTGTGCGTTGGTGCACACTGCCATTTGGAAGGTGGAGGAAGAAGAGACACAGAAGTTTCCAGATAAGAAATCACCAGACAGTGGGCGAACCAGAGGAAAAGGTCACAGATACCAAGATGGGACAGTTTCCAAAAGGGAAGAGTGTGTCAAATGTATTCGGGGTGGTGGGTAAGCTAGCATGGAGAAAGAGTTTCTCCTTTCTCGGAAAGGGTAATGGTAAGGGCATTTAATTCCATTCCATGAAGAGAGACAGCTCCTCTCTCTCAGGCAGAAGCTGTTCTTCTCGGCCTGGGTCATGGGGAACCTCACTTCACTCTTGGTTTCAAAGATGGAGCTTACCGGTCAGTCAGTATAAACAAGTGTCAGCACACCTCCCCGTGTGTAACACGTTCTAGAAACTACAGCCGCATCGTCAACGACAATGACAGAGCAGAGATTAGGGAGGTTAAAACTTAAATAAGCAAGAGAGGGAGGGCACACCTTTCTCTAAGGCATTTTTCTCTTCCCGGGGTGGGTAGGAAATTGCAATTTATGAAATAACCTGGTGGCTGCTGATCCCAGTTGCTTCCTTTAAGAACATTCTCCAGGAAACTTACAAACACGAGTCTTGTCCATTTAGAGGAAATTAGTCTAAAACGTCCAAAAATAATAAAGTGTGAAAACAGTCGTCTTCTTAAAAGCATGGTTGTATATGCTCACCGCTTGCTCTGGGGGCAGCGAGAACACCGGGGGGCGGGGGGGGGCAGGGGGGGCGATGTGCATAATGATTCCTCTTAAAAATGAAATGTGGGGGCCCATTCAACAGCGTTTCCACCACTCCTGTCTGGGTTACAGCTACCGAGAGAGAAAACAGATTGCAAGCCAAGTAGAAAGATAATATCCCACATATTGTGTTTAATTTAACACATTTAACAGCAACAACAAAAACAAAGCTTCCTCTACAGGTTTATTTCTAAAATTTGGTAATTCCGGCAATTCTTTTGTTTCAGGAAGCG